GTTCATGCATATTAACTTCCAGGGGTATTTATTTGAAAACTAATCCGTGATAAACCGTGACATACATGTAAACAATGCGTTCGCCCACTGCATATTATTGACTGCCCACTGCAATCAACTTTAGTTGGCATTCAAGAAACGTGCGTGGCATGTTCGGACGCACAGGTTAGCACAGGTTTCTGAATCCAGTAGCAGCGTTGGCATAACAAAAATCGATAAGAAGTGGGTGGAGCTAACTTTTGGCCAGTGGTAGCGAACCTTACACATTGTGTTATGTTGGCCAGGGTTTATTTACGTGCACGGGTCGTGCAGCACGCTCACTGTTCAGTGTTCACGTGCGCTAGGTTGTGGAGTAATTCTCACATCCCCGCGCATTTCACGTTTGGATGTAAACAATAAAGTATCACTGGTAGTTAACAAACGATCAGTATACTGTTTTAAAATAATATTAAGAAGATTTAGGTAATATATCATGTTGAATTATACAGTAAATAATAATTGTCTCAAGTTTTAACACACATAAGTCACTGTAGCTGCAAAGCACGTAGTGTGGTATTACTTTACTAGTCATGCAAACAGCAGTACAGCCTCGTCGCACCACTCAGGTTTAACTGTGTCATATTGTTTTTAACGTTTGGAAAAACTATATATACATTTTATACAGGGTGTAGCTAAATAAAAGCTTACCTACGTAAGAGCTTGTATGTCTACAAAATACATTTACTTTCGACACACTCAACACAGACGGAATTCCCCAGTGCCCATCAAAATTTTACAGTAGGTAAATTTTACATAATTTTTTCCTTTTCCACCCAAATGTGTTGCTAGTTGTAAGCTATTGGAGTACCCTGAAATGGCTCTAGATTGCATCTCAAAGCTTATAATTTTCAAAAAATTTCATGCCCCCCATACCCCCATAGAAGTCCCCGATGTGTACCAGACTAGTGGTCAGTCTGTCTCTCTGCTGTCAGAGTGGAGAGTCGTAGTTACCAAGGAGCTACATATAACAACGATGTGGCGTTTCCTTAACTGTGAGCCCCCGGCCCGGCAAAGAAGCATAAACAGTCATCCGACGAGAGGAAGGAAAAACAGAGGGATTATGATTATGGACCAATGTGATAATGACTAATAAACACAAGGAAGAACATGATATGCTATTTTATTGCTGTAATCTGCTCCAAAATTGGCGGGCCTCCAGCTTTGCTGGCGGGCCTGCAGCTTTTAGGAGCTATAGGCCCTGCAGGCCTACAGCTTTTTCTGCTCAGTGGCAAACACTGATTACACCAAACCTCTAAAGCTATGTCTCCACACACGCGGCACGACACGACACAGCAATATGCAGCGCCGTTGTGCTGAAAAAAAGTTGTTTGCAATGCCGGGTGTTGCGTTGTCCGCCCAACATCCTAGTTCGGCTGACCATAGGCCTACTGTAACATTCCAAGACCAGCAATCAAGTGGTGTACCGAATGTTCAACAACCAGACGCAGACTACAGTGGTTCAGTACAGAACTTTGAACAGCAGCCGCCAGCATCGGTATCGATCCGATGCGATCTCTGGAAGCAGCTCAATCGCGTATCGATCCCCATATTTTCTAGAGACAAACGACAATACGAAGGCTGGAAAGCAGCATTCTTGTCTTGTATCGACCAGGCTCCAGCTATGCCAAAGTATTAACTTTTACAGTTGCGACAGTACGTATCGGGTGAGGCACTTCACGTCATTGAGAATTTGGGTCACTCCGCTGTGGCCTATGAAGCAGCAAAAGTACGTTTGTACGTAAAGACAGGTATCATCAAAATCTTGGCACAGAATCCGTCTTTTGCTGAAAACAATGACACGATACAGTTGGTTGTAAACATTGATGGGTTGCCGCTTTTCAAATCTTCAAGCGTGAATCTTTGGCCTATTTTGTGTAGTTTTAATTATTTTGATCCATTTGTCGTATCCATATATTGTGGTCATAGCAAGCCTGAGCCTGTTGAAGACTACCTTGAGGACTTGATTTGCAAGTTTCAAGAATCACTACTAGGAACTACTCTCGAATCAACATTAAAAACTTAACATGTGGATATCAAATGCTTTATTTGTGATGCACCAGCAAGATCATTTCTAAAATGCATTAAAGGTCATAACGGTTACTTTTCCTGTGAGTGATGTACTGCAGAGGGTAGTTGTGAGAAAAGAGTAGTTTATTACTCTGATGAGATGTTCCCTCGGCGCACTGAAGAGGAATTCAAAAATGGAACATATGTCAATCACCAACAGGCAAAATCACCACTGCAGGTATTTCATGCATTAATGGATTTCCACTAGACTATATGCATTTAGTGTGCCTGGGTGTTGTAAAACGCATGCAGACCTTTTTGAAACAAGGTCCCAAGAAGGAAAGAGTATGACTCTCTTACCGGCAGATTAGTGCAATATCTGACAATCTACGGCAACTAAATGGACAAATGCCAAATGAATTCGCAAGACAACCACGGTCTCTCTTTGAGCTTGAAAGATGGAAGGCTACTGAATTTCGTCAGTTTCTTCTGTATACAAACCCTCTTGTTCTGAAGGGTGTGGTGTCAGACACTGTATACAGTCACTTTTTAACTTTGAGTGTTGCAATGTCCATTCTACTGAATGCAAATGATGCCACACGACAGGCATATCTAGACTATGAAGAAGAGCTTATTGTGTACTTTGTTAGAAAATGCAAGGATGTGTATGGTTCAGTGTTCACAGTGTACAATGTACACTCCCTCATACATCTGCCTGATGATGTTCGTTTCTTTCATTCATCACTCAATGACATTTCGGCCTTCAAGTATGAATACTATTTACAAACTCTGAAAAAAAGGTGAAGAAATCTCAAAATCCAATTGCTCAGGTAGCAAAGAGGCTGACAGAACTTGAGCAAGTAAAAGGAAAGACCATGCCGAAGGTGATGGCAAGTCACATATCGGACAGAAGGTTTAAAGAAAGTTACTTTATGTTACACAATGAGGACTTTGCATTTGTGAAACAGAAGATGGACAATGGAAAGCTACTGTGCGATGTTCTCAAACAACAAGATATGCGTATCTTTTTTAGTGACCCATGTGACTCGAAGCTGATAAACATTTGCTATACCAATGACTTGAAGCACAGAGCAATCCAACGGATAGTTAAAAAAGAGCATCTGTTTTGCAAATATGTGTGCCTCCCATACAATGAAAGGCATATAATTTATCCAATGCTGCATGACATGGAGAAGCAGCAACATTAATACTTTTTGTATGTGTTTTTATATTTGTTGTTTTGTATTTTTATGTTTGTTGTGATAATGCTATATAAACATCACTGCCTTTGTGACTAAAATGTAATGTAAGCAATGTGTGTTGATGTAGTTAGTTATATCACATTTAACTAAATAATATATGTGACATGTTTATAACTTTACTGTTACAGTCTCAGCTAGCTCAGTCTGTTCTCACCATTCTTTCTATTTCATTGCAATCCATCCTTTTACTGGTTTTTTACATAAAATGTACACACAATTATTTTTTATTTTGTTTAAAATATTTTCAGCTCCTGTCCACAGGCCTAGTGACAGGGAACGAGAAGTCCGTAGCTTCTCAAGAGAAACGTCCCCTGAAACCGACCGTAGTGCATCTCGTTCCAGATCTGTACACAAGTCTAGTACGTAGGAATATATTCTCTCTATTTCATTGCAACCCATTCTTTTGCTGGTTTTTTACATAAAAAGTCAACAACATACAATAATAACTTGCCCATGTGGGAATAAGTTATATAAGACAGTGTATATTGTAAACGTACCACAGTTACAAAACCTAGTGCGCAGTTGGCTTCTGAACGAGGACGCTGCAGTCGGTTTTAATATACCTTATTTACAATATCATTTATTTTGTTATTTTGTTCGAAATATTTGCAGCTCCTGCCTACAGGCCTTTTGCTGGTTTTTTACATAAAATGTACATCTGAAATCAACAACATACAATAATAACTTGCCCATGTGGGAACTAGAAACGAGCAGTTGTCGCCAACTACATGTATCCCCCGTGATCTAGTATGAATGGAATATCTCTGTAAGGACGTAGAAGACAGGTAAAGTTAAATAAGCCACAAAGACAAAGGTTTGTTAGACAACTGGTCTGCCTCAGATGTGCAAGTATATGGAATCTGGTTACCCTAAGAGGCCGAAGAGGAAATGTAAGTCGACGGTCAAGGTCAAACTAAGGTCAATGGCAGTGGTGGTTTTGGTATGCGACAGACCTTCTCCCCAAGATGTGTAAGTATACCAAGTTTGGCAGCGCTAGGTGAATTAGGGGCCGAGCTACAGAGCAGAAGGGAAATATGATCAAGGTCAAAGTAAAGCTGAAATAAAGGTCGCAGTGACCTGGTTTTTTGGTACTGTGCACACCTTCTCCCCAAGATGCCAAGGTGCATTATGGTAAAGCAAAGACGCCAATTGTTTTTGGTGTGGGCGGAGTCATCGTTGCCATGGTAACAACATTTTTGTGGAAATATTGTAGAACCTGTAACTTGTGCTGTTTTTATTATAGCAGGTCATTCCGTCGAGCAAATTAAGAAGGAGATTGGCCATGGCAACAGAATGTTCTCCCAAGCAACAGACGGAAGTAGCGACGAGGAGGACAAGTTTTTTCCCGTCCTAATTACACACGAGGACCAGACAACAGGGCTCATCACGACGTCATTTCTGGACATGCCAGTTGTAAATTCGGCGACGGGTGAGAACATTGCAGAGGCATTGAGAGATTCTCTATCTCAGTGTGATTTAAGCCTACAGCAGTGCTTGTCATTTTCATCCGACAACGCCTCTGTCATGACTGGCCGTCACAAGGGTGTCCTGGGCTATCTACACCAGCGGAACAAGGCGATCTACCTGATGGGCTGTCCCTGTCACCTGAGTGCCCTGGCCGCCAAGACAGGTGGGAAGGCACTGAAATCTTTTGACCCGGAGGATTTTGTCATCGACTTATTCTACCATTTTGATAAGAGGTAAGTACAATAACAATAATTCTATAAATGTTGTATACTTTAGCTTTAATTAAATCATGTTAAAATATAATATTTTGCCTCACTGTTAAATATTAGAAATATGTTAAAACTGTCATACTTAAAGTAGTTAATGGTTCAATAATTAATATATTTTCTGAGGTAATGTGCAGGACCATTTCCATATACATGTATAATATTATACTGATAAATATGCCGTCTTAGAATAGTTTTTGTTTTTGTTATAGTGCGAAAAGGAAGCATCTCCTGAGGGAGTTACTCGTCTTCTGTGATGTTTCTGTGCGAAAAGTGCTGAAGCATGTGTCCACCCGCTGGTTGAGCCTTCACAAGTGTTTGGAGAGGAGCCTCGATCTTTGGGACGGACTGCGCTCGTATTTCCTGACCCACTTCGATGATGACGGTGATGATGATGAGTATGACGACGCATCGCGAAGAGGGAAGGAGCCGCAGAAGCGGAAGAGGTATGTCACAATGATAGATATAAAACTGAATAAAGATAATGTATGCTGATAACTAAGTTATAGTGATGGTCTCGCTTCCATTAATGACTAAATATAAATAAATGTTTAAATATATTTTAATCAAAGGGAACCAAATAAAACTTCTATATTGTACATGTGCATATTCATATTTAGGTCTGAGGTTTGTACAGTGTGCACTTGTTTTCAGGACGTCCAAGACCAAAGGTGGGCCTCGAGAACAACGACTTGTGGCAGTCTTCAAAGATCCGACATCGCAGCTGTATATCCACTTTCTGCATGCTGTACTGCCGAACTTCGACGTGTTCAACACACTATTACAGTCAGAGGCCCCAATGATCCACAGACTGTACCCGTCGATGGTGAAGCTATATAGGGTATGTAGTACATGTATTTGTATAGTTTAAATAAATCACTTTAATATATATACTAATAACAAACAAACTCAGTATTGTAGTATTGTATGTATTGTAGAAATGTACATTTTTACCACCAAAAAGATAAAAATTAACTTGAGGCATATTGTTTACATTGTGTGAATCTCTCTCTCTCTCTCTCTCTCTCTCTCTCTCTCTGTCTCTGTCTCTGTCTCTGTCTCTGTTTCTGTCTCTGTCTCTGTCTCTGTCTCTGTCTCTGTCTCTGTCTCTGTCTCTGTCTCTGTCTCTAGTGGAGCTAATTTTAAAATTTTAAAATAGAGAATATCCACTAACTGTATCAGATATTCGTTCACTGGTATATCAATTTGCAGAGCGTAACGAGATCAAGCACCCATTTAGTACAACTGTACAAAAAGCCGGAAAGGATTGGTGGCAGGGGTTCCACAAAAAAACACCCTACTCTAACAATCAGGAAACCCCAACCATTGTCAGTTGCCCGTGCTATATGTTTAAACAAGCCTGTAGTGGAAGGTTTCTTTCATAACCTCGATGTGTACCAAGAATGTAACATTCATGGAAATCCTACTCGACTCTACAATTGCGATGAGACCGGACTGAGCCTGGTTCCGGGAGTTAAAAACATTGTGGGGAAAAAAGGAAACCGCTTATCAAACCAGATTACAAGTGGTGATCGTGGACAGTTAATGACTGTACTGTTTTGTGTCAGTGCTGCTATATTCCTCCTCTCGTAATCTACAAGGGTAAACGTATGGATGAGAGACTCAAACAAGGTTTTCCCCCTGGGTCTATGGTGAGACTGACCGAACGAGGTTGGATCAAAACTGAAGTTTTCCTTGATTGGATCGACCACATGAAAAGGAACCTAGGGGAACAAGATGGAAAACGTTCCTAATTCTTGATGGTCAGTCTACACATACAATGTCACCTGAGGTGTTACAAAATGCTGCAGATAATGGCATTAAACTGTTCAGCTTTCTTGCGCACACATCAAACTACCTCCAACCTCTTGGCCGGGTTCACTACAAACCACTCAGAGAATATTTCAGGGATTCATGCAGGCAATGGATGCGTGATCTTCCAGGACAATGTATCTCTCGCTATGAGTTTCCAAAGCTGTTCACACCAGCATATGATAAAACTGCTACTATTGCCAATGGGGTGAAGTCATTTGAGGCCACAGGGCTGTACCCACTGAATCTGGAGAAAATCCCAGATAACGCATTCATGCCTGCTGAAAATACAGCCCAAACACACATGGTAGATGATCAAGCTGGTGTGGATGATCAAGATGCTGATGACATTCCACAAAATGATGTAAACTCAACTGAAGATGAAATTGGGGAAAATGGAAATGACAGTGTAGACGACAGTGGAACAGTAGCTGGTGGCAATGACAGTGGACCAGTAGCTGGTGGCAATGTTGATCCACAAACACATACGGACACAGAGGAGGAACAGAATGTGCCAATGTGTCATTTAGGGATATCATGCCATCACCCAGAAAACTGTCCGGTAAAAAGCGTGCAAGAAATGTCTTTCCTACAGGCAATCGTCACCTGACAAGCCCTACATATTGAACTGACTTACAGGCAAATATGGATGAAAGAGAAAGAAAGAAAACTGACAAAGAAAATGAGATGGAACGAAAGAAAAGATGGAACTACAGAAAGAGAACAAAAAGGCTGAAACAGCAGCAAGAAAATCTCAAAACGAAGGAAAAGGAAGCAGAAATGTAGCTGGCAGTGAGCGGCAAGCAAAAGCGAAAGAAAACTGTTACTGTTGTAAATCGCGATGATCCTGAAAACATTTGTGGGGTCTGTAGTAGGAATTACTATGATGATGATAAGGATGACCATGAAGATTGCATACAGTGTCCACGATGCAAAGTATGTATGGTTTCATGAAACATGTGGTGGAGTCTTTGGCCGACAATACTATGCCTTCATTTGCGAGGAATGTGCTGGTTGAACTCTGATATAATATATTGAAGCCAGTTATTGATTAGTTATACATTTTTAGTATGTTCATTGCTCTGTTGTGTTTTTGTTTATGGTTTAATAACATTGTTCTGTTATTGTCTATTGTTTAATTAAATTTCTGTCTAAGAATAAGTGTTTCTACACATTTTCGTAGTGTCCCAAGGGTGCGGGTCAGATGGTCCATGGATGTTTTTATCAAAGTTTTTTTTATACAATGCTTTGGCCCAAGCGGCGAGACACTGTGTTCCGCGGAACCCTTGTTAGTGAGCAGGTAATTACTATTTTCCTTTGTTGTTGCCCGCCGCACACGCATGTTTTAGAATGAATTTCACGGCATGGGTTTTATCAGTGTGTAACTGCATCGGCAGCTGCTTTTGCAAGTCATTATATAATATTTAGGAAGTTCTTCAATAGTGTTTCTATATTTCAGTGGTTCCAATTGTGAAAAGGAGGAAACATTCTCCTGTGCCGGACTCCAAGAAGAGGAGAATGGAGGAAGATAAAGGTAATATGCTAAATAATATGTTTGATACCACTTTGTATTGCCTTTATCTACAATCTTTACCATACACAAATTACCATGTCCATCTGTTCTGTTAAAAAGTCTCTGTGAAATCTGATATGCACTGCATATGAATACAAGTACTGTAGGACCCTGGTTATCTGCGGATTGTGGGCGACACATTTCATAAACGCGTTATGAGCGAGGTCGCGGATAACCGAGAGGGGCTTAGACTCTAGGCCCTGTGGTAGCACCCCGACACTACTGATAAGTCTATAGACCGTGAAGTTGCGCCTGATCAGAAATCTGTATTGTTCGTACACAAATAAATAAAGACTTCTTTAGCAACTGAGTTGTGTCAATTTTATTTCCTTTTCATTACAACCCAGAGTGACATTCGCACTGCGTCTGTTAATCTGATGTCATGAGAAATAAAATTTTCGAGCAGTGGGAATTAAGACAACGGGCCGGGGAAGAAAATTATTATTATTGTCTTGCGATAGGCTAGTTTCCATGGCTCTCATTCCTTACCTTCAAAGATTCGCGATAAGCTTGAGTGTAATCTATCATCAACAATTATCAACATTCAAATTTATGTATTACGAGTAGGCCTATCACATTTCGTTTGAGAAAAATCACTTCATTTTCTCTAGAATTGTTTGGACAGGAAATGAATTTGTAACAAACCCGCGAAGTGTTCTGATTGGCTCAATGAGCCCATGTGACGCCGAGCCGACACTCGATTCGAATTTACGCTTGGCCGGCCTTGTATCGCGCTAGACCTATCATACAGTAGGCCTATGGGCTATATCTAGAACAAAACACCTCGGTTATATATATATATGTATGCATATATATATGGTGCATGAGCAATATGGACGCCATTACGATAACAGCTTTAGCTTCTTTCTTCTCAGATGAGCCGAAATCACTGCAACGAGGGGAAAACCACTACAAATCGGACCATGTAGAGAAATTTGATTATTTTTCAGGTGAACTGCGAGTTGTTAGAGCCAGCATGAAAGACAAAAGTTACAACGTTGTGGTAAGTTTTGTAGTTCACGAAGAAAAATTCATGTCTTCACATGCACTGTAGTCCCAATTCGCGCATATTTGTGTTTGTGCAAAGTATAATCAACGACTTTCGGGCTTTTGAACGCTTTGCAAAGTTTGTGACACGAACTACGTGATTTGTTTCTTGGTTTGAATTCTAACGCATTAAACATGATGCATGAGACAACCATTAAATTATCATTTAGTCCATGCATATCATAAAAAAATGTAGGAAAGTACAAGATCGAAAGCCAGTTGGTGCGTGCATGAACACAAATAATTTACCAGGTGCAGGAGTACAGTCTACAGAGTACAGTCTCAGACACGTAGGGTAACCATAATTTATCAATATGCTCTGTATGTTCTTGGCAAGAAATCGTTACAAAAAGTCTTTTATTTCTCAAATTAAATTGTAGGTACAGCTGGGTGAGAAAAGCATCACCTCGTCAAGGTGCGACTGTCCGCGTGGTCGGTACAAGTGCAGCCACGCAGCAACCCTTATCACCTTCGGCATCCACAACATCAGCCGGACAGACGTGGAATGCCAGTGGCGTAAGGTGAAGGGACCAGCAACCGTCAAATCTGTCGATGAGATGTACCCGACGCCAAAGGACTATAACCCTCTTACAAGAACTGTTACCGATGATGACCGCAACTTCGCAACGAACTAAAGACTTGTGGCCAATTCACCGGGATGTACTGGCTTTTATCCCCAGAGCCTGATGTCCAGCCATTACCAATTCCTTCAGTAGAAGAACTGATTCTTTCGCCACCCTTTGTCAACCAGAACCTGAATGTAGATTTTCTTCTAGACAGACTTAAGATTTCTGAGGATCAACAGCGAGCTGTAGAGCAAGCAACAAAGGGCCAGCGAGACAACCCTGTGTGGCATCAACTGAGGAAGGGACGGTTAACTGCGAGCAATTTTGGCGTTGTGCTGAAAGCGAAACGTGTCACCCCATCTCTACTCAAACGGCTAATGGGGACCTACGATTTGAGCGGCGTCCAAGCCATCAACTGGGGCATAACCCAAAAGGAGGAAGGAATCAAAGCATTAAAGGCAGCCAAGCAGTGCGAGGTGGTTGACTCTGGACTCTGGCTGTCCCGGTCGGGAGTACTGGGTGCCTCTCCTGATGGACTTGTTGGAGGATGCCATCCTGGAGGTGAAGTGTCCGTTCACCTAGCGGAATGCAACAATCGCAGAGGCGGTCGAGAGGAAAGACTTCTACATAAAGAAGAATGAAGAAGGGGGCTACAAACTTCAGGAGACCCACCAATATTGGCATCAAGTTCAAGGACAGCTCCATCTGACGCGAAGGGACCTTTGCTACTTTGTTGTGTGGACAACAAAGACAGCACTCATCCTGAGCATCAAGAGAGATGCATCCTGGATCGACAATCTAGAGTTCTTGGAGAAGTTTCATCGAGAACAGATTCT